TAACACATTCTGGCTCAAGAAAATGATTTAAAATATGAAATAGTTGCCTAGTATCTCCTTAAGAAAGCTAGCAGATACCCAGCTCCTGTTCAATATTCCACCTCTTGGTGTTTTCTAAAGCTTGACTGTCCAAAGTAATATTTTAGGTGGGCGGACATTGACGCTGCGATTAGTGCCACCACAGCTTGAAATACACCCTCTCATTATCCCTGATACTGATTTTAAGTTAATCACAGATCTTCTTGCATCCTTTGCATCTGCTCAGCTTGTTTTTCAGAAACTGGTTCGTTTGAAGCCACTATGCAGTGTTCAAGGGTTGTATGCACCTTTACCACACAGATTTCTGCACTGAGGCTGTTATTTTCCACACCTAAAAATTGATGTCCATCCTTTATTTAAGCAGCACAGGAGGCTTGTTGTGTTTCGGCTCATGCCGTGGCCTCAGGAAAGAGTTCAGCTGCACATTTTTAGCACAAAAGGTGATAAATTCAAGCTTGTGGTGACCCTTTAGATGACACATTTTAAAGAGTTGGCAGCGCATCTGGGAAAATTCTGTTAGATGTCAGAAGTCATCTGCATCAAGAAAGTGTTGAGATGACCAACACACACTCATACATTTATATATATATATATATATATATATATATATATATATATATATATATATATATTGCCTTTTCTAAATCTGTGCAGGTGGAATGACCCCGTGGAAGATGTCGCTGTTGCAAACCTTTGATTCACACTGAAACATTTTAATGATCACAAGTGATCTTGTCTCATCCAGCTCTGTTCAAAACATCCACAGCCTCCAAATGTCTCTTAGATGGGAGTAGATTGCGTACAGAGTTTGCACCTTGTCAGAATGGATAATAAAAAAAGAAAATGTGTGCAGTGAAGTGGGCATTTTTGTGACAAACCCCTAGCACAGGACAAGAAAAGTTGCACAAATGATGGCATTAATTATTCTGAAGGTGGCTCTCATGTTTTGTTGGAGGAGGTGGGGTTCTGCGCTGCGTTTTGAGCGTGAAGGGCAATTTAGCTCGACAGTTAAAACATCTATCCTCTGAGTTGGATCTCCCCCGGAGAGTTAAGTGAGGATGCTCAAGATAACAACAGTAAGGGCTCATTAATGTCATTTTTCGGGGGAAGGGGGGGGCAGTTCCCTGTCTCACAGAGATGGGAAGGAACAGGCAACCTGACCCTGACACACACTTACACGCACACACACACATGACCAAACACACTCTCTGCAGTAGCCTGATAAGCCTCTTGCCTCAGCAACTTGCCCCTGAAAATGTCAGGCTGTGGCCGTCTCAGTTTCCTGATGGGCAGTACATGAAAGTCAAGAAAATGTTTAAAATACATGGGTGGGTTTTCAGAAACTGAGATCAGGTAAGTTAAATATTTTTTTTCTGCAAAAAGGGGTGAAAGGGATGCAGCCTGCTGTTAAATTCCTCTGGAAGCTTAGCTTGACACCTTCACTTATTGAGAATAACTCCAGGTTAAAGGTGTTTGAAGTTGGAGTTAAAGACCAAACAGCTGGTGAAATCCAGTTTTCAGTACAAGGTAAAGATGATTTGTTATTTCCTAAAATATTTTGATGTTTACAGCTGTTGACAGTGTTCATCTGACCTCAACAACTAGCTCTAAAAGATGCTAAATGAGGGGATTTTTTTAATCCGTGCAACCTGGAACCATGTCTTAAAGGCTTTGGGAGACACTCCTCATATTTTCCACAAATGAGTGGTTTTCGCAACAAAGAAAAGCTAAAAACATCCAGGCTGCGTTGATTTCACTCAGCAGCACTCAGAGAGCCATTTCTCACAGACCAGGGGCGTTTGTCTTTGACGTGGTGACATGAAGTCTCTAATGTGACGATGTGCTCATACACCCTGCAAGGAGAAGGCGGCCTGCGCCACGGCCGCGCGGCTCTGATGACCTCTGCTTATGTACAAAAACTTCAGTCTTAATTGTGTCTGGAGGAATTCTGCTGTCTCAAGCTTAAGTTGAGACCAGGAGGCTTTGTGGCGTTTTAACGCACACAGCAGCTAAACAGCTAAACAACAGCATCGTGTCATTCTCATTCTGTCATCTGAATCAGCTCTAAATCTAATGAGTTTTAGGTCTTTTCATGACTTTTTCATGCCCAGTAAGTGAGAAAAGCTGTACAGTTTCCACATTTGCACGTCTTTAAAAACTTTCACTCCTGAACTTTCTTTTATCTGTGTGCTTCGGACTGAATCAGTGACAGCTTGGTGGCCCGTGTCAAAAGGTGAATCATGTCCAAAGAATTTCACATTGTGAAAGAGGCTCTTGAGAAAACAACAGTTTTGAACAGCTCGTGCCTGGGAGCTGTTTTTTCATCTCTGACACTTGTGTCGCAGTCACGGCGGAGCCTAATTTGCCCTGGATTAGTCTTCAGCGTGGATCTGAGCTTAGTGGTGATACGTCCTAACACCCGTCTCCCCGCTTCCTCCCGCCGTATCTCTCCTTCTCCACACCCATTACGGCAGGGAGTGGAAAAAACAACACCTCTCTTTTGATTGTGAAGCACAATAATCTCCTGTTTCATTTGGCATTTAACACAGCTGTGAAATCCTCTGCGTTGATTGCCCCTCGCCGCGTTGCCGAGGCTCTTTTGTGTGTAACATTTAGACCGCTGAGGGCTGGTTCCACAGAGTAATGAAGGATCAGAACAGCTGATTGAGAAAACAGATGAGGTGAGTGACATTGGCTGCTTATAATTTGGGAAAATTCATAAAACAGTCCAACTTTTAATTAGAATTTACAAGTTAAAGCAACAATAAATACCTCCAAAGCCCAGGGCTGATTTTTCCCAAAAGACATGATTTACTTTTTATGAAAACAAGCAGACACTTCGACTTGTGTTGCATGCATTAATCAGAGAAATAAATCTCTACAAAGAAGCACATTACATGATGAAATCATACAGCCATCAATCATCAGGTACATTATAATTAAACATACACAAAGCAGATACTGATTTGACTTGCTTGAAACAACGAGATTCGATACTGAATTTACATCTCACACACACACACAATATGCCAAATATAATGTGCTGAGGTGACATGCTTTTCCAAATTTCTTGAGGCATAATTCCTTTCTGCAAACCAGAGTGTTGTGAAAAGGGATTTGCATCCTTACAGATTTCTTCTGTTTATCCTTTATTGTGACTTTTAAAGTGTTTCAGATCAGGCAACATATCTCAGGAATAAAGACAATCCAAAAAATTATAAAATGTACTTTTAAAGTGATGATTTCAGTGATTGAGAGAATAAACTAAACAAATCCAAATGTGAAGACTGACCCTTTGAGATGGATCATGAGTCCAGACCTGATTGCTCCCTTATCTGCTTCCCCAAGGCTCTTGTCCTGTCTGCCTACAGAGCACTTCTCTGCATTTCTCCTGAAATCACTACCATTTTTGGAAATATGGACTTAATTAACTGGTCATTCAACGCGAGTGATACAAATTTTTCTACGATGAGAACGGAGAAGGGGGCTCCCACCTGTCCCGAGGGGACATTCGCAGCGGGATATGCACTCGATTCTTGGGAGGTCTGGCGAATCGTGTGCCTCTCTCAGTTGTCCATCGAGGACGTGGAAGATTTGTGGACGTTCGGCCTGATGATCACTGGATTTCTTCTGATTGGAGTGGGAGGATATCTGGTTTTCTGGAAATTTGGGAAGACGGGAGCGATTGGAGTGCGACCCGTGCCCATGGAATGTGCCGCTCGTGCGGTGACCTCACAGACTGGGACGTTACTCGAGGTGAACCGTAAGCTGGATAATGTCCTCGCGGCGTTGCCTGTGTTAGTGCGCAAGATGGATGTCATCTCGGAGAGAGTCGCCGGACGATGTGGGGATGTTTAGAAATAAAATTGGCTTCACTGGTGGACATGAATGACCACTTATAGACTTCAAGGCAGAGAGGAAAATTATCTCTGCCTGTCCCAAACAAAGCCATGTTTATCCTTATCTGACGCCAAGGCAGCCTCTCAAGGCTGCTTCAACACACCCCCACGAAAGGAGGAATGCTGACAGATGCTGTGTCCGGACCTTCCCCCCCTGCCTTCAGATTGTGACTTCTGCTGAGGTCAGCGACCTGCGGGAAACTCAATGTGCTCTCTGTTCCTTCTCTCTCCCTCCCACCTGCTGGTCTGCAGCTGGTTGATGCACCGTACTGGCAGCTCCCATTGGAGGCTTCAGGATCCCGCCCAACCCCGCCTCCCCATCGGACTCTGATGTTTTGTATCTGTGCTGTTTGTTCTTCTATGTTTGAGGAGTTTTTTTTTTTTTTGTATAATAGAGTTACTCCCCGCTGGGTCTAACTCTGCTATGCCTTTTTTTTACCTTACCCCCAAATTATCCTCATGTAACACCCTTTTCACCTATCTATTAAGGTTGCGCGACCCATGTTGCGAATGACCGCAGTCACCAATTCTTGTCATGTGTCTTACCCATGTATGTCTGATCTCTGAATTGTGTGTACTGAAACTCAATTTCGTTTCTCTGTATGTCCTGCACATGTGGTAGAAATGACAATAAAAATGACTTTGACTTGACTTTGACTAGAAAATCCCAGTATGGCATTGTCCTAAATCATGCAAAAATCCACATTTTGGAGTTTTTACCATATTGTATTGCTATTTCACCACGAAACACACCCCAACGTGCTTTTTTAAATCACACATGCCTTTTCCTGCGTCATCTGCAGATCCTCTGCTGTCTGGATGAGTTGTTGCTGCGTGACCTGGCCTGTTCCTCCCCTACTGAGGGGGTCTGGGTCCCTCCTCAGTTGAACTGTAAACAATAACAACCAGTCTCTCCATGTAGCTAGCAGGACGTTTAATCTCCACAGTTGTGAAGAAGTGATTTTTTTCTTATCTAGCCTGCACTTTAAATATAACCCGGAATGCAAAAAAAAATAATAATAAAAATAAAATAAAAATGTACATATATATATATATATATATATATATATATATATATATATATATATATATATATATTTGTCTGTGAGAGGAATAGGATTCCTGTCCAGTCTTCTCAAAGAAGAGTTTGATATGCAGAAATTGTTAGATTTTGTTGTCAGGAACTCTCAAAAACCGAGCCAGAATGTGATCGTAACTTCACAGACTGCTTGTCAAAGCTCTGCAAGTACTGTAGTGGCTTTTCAGATGGATTATGTCTTCAAAGCAGCGTCATTCCAACTTTAAAATTAGCCCAGTGAACAGTTCAGAGCGGTGAGTAAAACTGAAAGTCTTACCACTAGCTGCTAACTGAATGGTTATAAAATTCTGCGACAATTCCAGATACAAGATGGAAATCTGCTATTACCTCAGCTGGCTTTTCTCTCTTTGTAGTGTGTGTGTGTGTATATATATATGTGTGTACACATATGCAAATATTGGTGACTTAACAGTGGGACGGGGAGGCGGTAAGAGCTGTGTGGGGCATGAAATTTGTGGAATTGATGCAAAAAGAGGCGAGGTTTGATCAAATCTAAGCATCTTATTTATAGACTGAAGAAATAAGTCACAAAAATAACACATTTCATAAAAAATTACTATGACATTTTTTCATGTATTGTCCTGTCTGGAAGGTGTAAAATAACATGCTACAGGTCCTTTAAGTCCTAAAGTTTTCACGTGGTTAAGGTCAGAGGTCATGATTCTACAATAGTAAAGAGACGAGAGGTAGGGGCAGATAAAAAAAGTAGCCTCCATGGGGAATTTTTAGGCCAAAATCTATGTTGACCAAAAGAAAACACATTTCATCTCCCCCAAAATAACGTTTTGATGATCCTTGAGACTTTTGGGAGAATATTCTGCAGACAGAGGGGACAAAATTGGAACTTCTTTGTCTGATATTGAAATGTGCTGATCTGAAAGATTTAACAGGGACATATAAAGACACAAAAACAGAATAAATCTGTAAGCAGGTTAATATTTTTCACAGCACTGTAAGAAGCAGAATCCTGATTTGAGCACAAATCCAAAGATCACATTAACCAAGATTCTAGCCATCCTCGTTGTGAAATCTCCAGACGTGAATTTGACATGACAGCTCAGGAATGATGGTGAGGCCGCTGCATTATCACAATTCTTACGGTGCCCAGGATGACACATGGCAGTGACTGACACTGTTACGTCGCCCGTGTTTCATGAGAATAGCAACATAGGCACCCAGAATACAGCAAATGAAAATCGATAAAGAGGCAGAGTTACCAATAACTACAAATCCACAGTGAGAACCACTGACTGTAAAGATCGCCACGAGCCGTCTGACTGTGGATCAGTGGCTGTGGGCAACCTCACTATAAGAATGTCTGCAGGCTGTGACCTTTCACCTTTGAGCCTGGATCAGTCCGCATAGAGGATGAACCCTGAGAAGGTGCTGTATTTGTTGCTGTTGCCCCCGTGAGCCTTGCCCCCGTCCAGTTTTATAAAAACCTGATCGCCTGCATCCAAATGAAGAATGACACTGTTGCTGGCGTAGTCATAACTCTGGTCCTGGTCCTGGGCGATGGCGCTGGCCCTGACCTGGAAGATTACACACAAAAAACCAACAGCGGATGAGTGAAGAAACACAAAAGCAGATGAAAGAAGAAAAGAAATCATGACTTTTTGCACAAAGATGAACCGATTTCATGTCATCCAAAGCAAGCTTGCACACACACAGAGTCCCGAATTAAGCAGTTTTTCTTTGTATAAGTTTGTCTCCTTTGGTGAATATCTTGTTTTTTATCTTATGAGTCAGATGGAAGGGTCAGGCTTTGAGTCAGATGCCTGTGAGGAAGGATGCCAGCAAAAGTTCTTCCCCTCATCTTGTACTGTGCTTTAACATCCACCTTTCTCTGGGTGAAGCTCAGAAAAATGTCATGTTTCGCTGCATCTAAGTGTCATGGTGTCAACACGGGGTAATTACAGAGGGTTGGTTAAGTTCCTCTGCATGCACAGTTATCCCATGGGAGACATATCCCTTCTGAGCTTAAGCTAATGTCTAGTGATCTCCAGCTTTACCCCCACCAACCGTATAAATATAATCCCAGCTTCGGCAAAACCGTGCAGCAGGTTAGTCAAACTAAGATTCGTCCTCCAGTGAGCGTGCACGGACTCCAAGTGCCTGTGAGGAGCCAAGCGCAGTCAGAGAGGAAAGGTTAAGGGGCCGATGACAGCACCATGATGGATTTTTATGACATTAAAGCAAACGCTACTCTTTGCTTTAGCAGCAAACAATCATGAATTTACATTAATTAAAATGTCCCTTTCTATGTGAAAAGAAGTTACAAAGAAGCAGCCCAGAAAGAAAATGAGATGTAATCATGTGGTAATTGTTGCAGCTGTTTTTCTCTCAATTATCTTAATTATGTCAAAGCCTGTCAAGCTCAATGACCAAACAGAACCACTTTACTGTCTTTTTTCTTGACTATATGTGAAGACATAGACGTTATTTTTCATTTTATCATCTCCATGTTTAGTCATTATGATTAGTTTGTATCTGATTGGCTCTCAGCCAAGTTTACATAGCTGATCTTCCAATAACAGAACACGATATATGGCGAGCTTTTGCTTTAGGATTAAATGTTTTTTTTTATTCTTTGATGTCACTTAATAGCTATAATTCAAAACTTTATTCATCATGTCTCAATGGATTATTTATGAGGTGAAAAACACCCTTAAAATTTATTTGAAATTTTATATTTGAGAGTGAGGGATTTTTGCAAAAGCCCAAAAGATTATAATAAACTGTCAGATCCATCAGACCCCCTGATGGAGCTGACGTGTGTTAGTTGTTTACTTTTCCATTTCATAACCTCTATTTAAAGTCCTATGCCGGTCAAATGTTTTTTTTTTTTTTTTTGTTGGGCATGAAGCATATATCCCCATTACCTGTAGCTGGCTGCCATTTTGGATGGGTCTCTATTTGCCCCCAGTGCATTTATTTCCACTGAGGAAGGTGCTTACCCAACTAAAAACACATTTTATAATGCTTTTTCACAAAATCAGACATACGGTATGGCGTGATAGTTAAAATATCAATATATTAAATTAAAATATCCTAACAGGTAGGCAAAAAAAGTAGGAGTTCTGCTGTGTGGTAGTTACCAATGCTAATGTTAGCTTCTACTTACTGAGACGTTCTCTGCTGTTTCCTGGATCCTAAACCAACAACAGCCTTCCTCATTGTGACTCAGGATGTGTGAGTCCTTGAATGATCAGTGACAGTGTGACGTAGATCTGTCAGAATTTTCCAATCCTAGAGTTTCACCGTCTGTTTTCTACCAGAAGCTAATACAGGAGATAAGTGTAGGAGTCTTGTTCAGCCTGCATGAAAAACTCAGAGTGACCCATTATAATCAGAAATAAGATTAAGAAAAAATGTTTTTTCAGGGTTCCACATATTTAAAAGAATGACAATTTAATTCAATGTGTCAAAACGTGACCGGGCAAAATATATTCATTATTAAAATGAATAAGTATATTTTATTTTTGTGGGAAGTACTGGTTTTAGAGATACAAAGTTTCTGTTCAACATCTATAATATCTGAACCTCCTACTTCTACATTTTCGAAGGCCTCTACCTCTTTAACAGGACTAGTGCATTCCTCTAAAGCCTGCTGAAACTAATCCTCTCCATGTCTTCTGATGAGTGGGTGGTAAGTGCCAATATTATTTATTTTATTATTGTAGTTCTGTAATATAAATACATATAGAGATTATGGATATAACATAATTTTTGTTTCAACATTAGCCAACAAATGCCTAATTATAAACAAAATATTCTGACTAGCACTTCATGGCTCAGTCTGTAAAGGGCTAAATCTTTTACACATGTACCTCTTATAAATCTGAAGTGTAAATGTTAATCTGTGTTAAATGCATACTTTTTAGGAAGATAACGCACATCTCTGCCAAGACATGTGTATTTTTGTTTGTTCCACAGACAACAATGTTCACGCATCTATGCAGGCAATCAGGCTTGAGCTAAAAACACTAAGACAATAACAAACCCCACATGACAGCTGCACAATACAGCGTTAGTGACATGTTTGTTGATAAAGTGATATATTTTTCGGATTTGTTTTTGTTGCCTTTGTTTTTAATGTCTAAGGCATTTTGCCTCTTGAGAACAGACACCTTGTAATTTGATTAAATCAAATATGACAGCAGCAAGAAACAACTACCTTGTTCTTTTTTATATACAAAGTGTGTTTTTTTATTTTACTTAGTCAAATAAAACTTCTAATGCTATTGTTCTTTACTAAGAAACAGAGATCTACCGAAGTTTGCATTACTTTTTCCATTTCTGCTGCAGTCAGGGTGAGACTTTTGCTCCACAGTGTTATGCCAGAGATGTGCAAGTTGTTTGATCGTCGTCATTGCCTGGGGCCTTCTGGACATTGCAAATGTATCCATGAATTTAGCAAACATCCTGAATGAGTATTTAAATGCTTCGGCTTGACAGGCAGCTTGATAACACGCACCGATACAACCTTGGAAGTTTGTTGTATTTTAAAGGGAGGCAGCTTTGAACTAGCCAGTACCCCAGGGTGTATTCTGATGTGTGCACATCACTGATAGGGGGCTGCACCTCTTCCACTCATGTCAATGTGTACTTCTCTGGATATGCAACATGCACGGACAAACGATCTGGCAGAGTGCCAGTGTGGATTGTCATAATGCCAGATTATAACACCAGGCTGAGTCTAAAAGCATTGCACACATGAATACACAATTTCAACCGCCTGCACACTGGGCAGTTTGATGTGAGTTCATTACATTTAAAGGGATATTTTTAACAATAACTCCATAGTTGTCCGTGTTTTACAAATGTATAGTTTTGGCATTCCTCAACATCAACAGTTAGTTTCTAAAGCTGAGATCGATCAGTGTTAAAAGTCTCACCTACCAGACCGTTTTTGATCAGATCAGCCCACATGCTGGTACCATCTCCTCCTCTCATCAGCACGTTGTAGATGAAAAAGTACGTTCCTGGAACCTTACAGGTGAACTTGCCTGTTGCACCTTCATAGCTCCCACCAACATTAGTCACAATGTCATCAAACCGCAGTGTGTCGTAACCTTCTTGAGGGTTTCTAAGTCCTGCGTAAAATGCCACTCGGGGCGTGGTGTTGTATGTGGTTGTGCTAACTGCCCCTAGAATCCCCGTTCGGACGAAATCTCCACTGTCTCCAGGTGGTCCTCTTGGTCCTGGTGGACCTGGCTCTCCAGGGGGCCCTGGGGGTCCCGGCTTACCTGGACGTCCTGGTTTACCTTGCGGACCGTAAGCCCTATACGTGGGCAGCGGAGGGCCAATGCTGTGGTCGATTAGATCTTCCTCATTGTCCACCAGAAAGCTGGAAGTTGACGTGTCCGTGCCCGGGTGCACGTCCGTTCCTGTGGTGCTGGGAAAGGGGTCGCACACCATCCGGCAGGTGCCCAGCATCTCGTAGTGGCTGGAACTGTCATCTGTGCCGCCTGTGCCAACGGAGCTGACGAGCACAGGGATGAGGACCACAAGAACAAGCACCAGCATGACCCCTACTGCAGCTGCCACCAGGGTCTTGCGCCCGATGCTCAGCCTGGGAAGGGGCTGTGCTGCCAGCCTAGAACTCTCCGGGGCTGAAATGGTGACTGTGGGGGCGGGGGTGCGTCCACCTGGCAAAGCACAGACACAAGGGGATCACTGAGGATGGAGAAGGTGCCCAGAGAGAGCTGGTGTGAGTCTGAGTGACTGACAGAGCTGAGAGAAGGAGAGGAGGAATGGACCAGAGCATGAGGAGAGAGTAAGGAGGAGAGGAGGGAGAGCAAGTCAGCATGAGAGGGGGGAAAAAAGGAAAAGAAGCAAGGGGAGGAGACAGTGAGCATCATCCCTCAGTACTAGGGTTGGGAATCGAGCATCGAGCATGGGACCAACTGTTAGTTTTTCAATTCCTAGAATGCTGACCGGAAGAGGAATCCGTGGCCGATCTCCGTGAAAAATAAACGTGATCTGCAAATTGTGATCAACGCTTTTCAGAGCTGATCACACCAGCTGTCTGTGTGCAGCACCGAGTCCCCCCTCCCCCACCCGGCGCGCAGCGGCCAGATATAAACAAACGCGTCAGCAGAACTTTTACTCCATTAACGTAAACTTTAATTCCTGCAGATTCCTGTTTGATTGCTGTTTTTATTGTAATTTTATTGTTCTAATTTGGTTTTTCTGAAACACTGCTCAGCACTTTGGTAATCCTTGGCTGTTTTTAAACATGCTAAACAAATAAAGCTCATTGATTGATTGATTGATATTTTTAAATCAGAAAATTTTAAATTGTCATTGTTCCTTTAACACAGTTCAGTCTACCTGCTCTGGAGAAAAGTTGCTTCTTTAGCTGCCATTTGTCTCCTGATTCACAGTTATGATGAGAATATTTTTAGTGAAGCCTCAAACGTTCAGGTGGGTCATGATCGAGAGCCTGGATTCATTACAGAAGTCCCTGGAACTGCAGCGGCTTAACAGAATGCAGCTGCTATAAATATCATGAATTATATTTTACCTGCGATTGGGCCAAAATGACAGCTGTGACACAGTCTGATTGAACCAGCTTGAAAGCAGGTAGTCCATGAAAAAATGTAAAGGTAATATAAGGAACAGCCAAGGTAAACACAATTGAGTTTTTCTCCTCCAGCTGGCTTTTCCTTATGCTCCTAATTAATTTGGCAGTTATATCTGCAGCAGAGATTCATACTGACATGATGTTCCATATCATAAGAAGTTGGGGTTTTTAGAAGAACACAAGTAAAATGTATTAAAATATGTAAAAATCATGTTGTCATGCTGAACATGCATATTTGAGTCCAGACAGAACAAAAACACAATTTTCCTGTGCAAGCCTGCTTTTGTAGTTCTGTGTAAGCTTCTAGCTCATTTAGTGGAAAATAACTGATGGAATTTGCATGAAATGCATGCAAATTTTCTTGCTTAAAGTGATGGGTTGCAGCTGAAAACAAAAATAAAATCATGCATATCTGCTCTGAATTAGGACAAACTTCTAAACTTCTATTATTTGATCCCTTTAAAGCGACACTAACCAGTTTTGCTTGCTTTTAGCACCCCCTAGTTTCCATTATTAATTTTCTCTGGTCAAACTGAAAATTAAACTTATCTCCTTGCTGTGCATTTGTCTTTTTAACACCTTAATTTAACAGCTGAAATGTTTCCCCGGCCTTCGTTATTCTCTACTGGAATGATTCATCACTAAATTAAACAAATAGGCTGTGTTCATGATCTAAAACATTCTGGAACGATGCTGGAAGCAGACTGCAGTGCCAGGCATGTCAGCTCCATTTTTTTTTCTAAATCCAGTAGACCGGACCAGCACTCTGAAGTTGCAAGTGTGGTATTCTGGCCACAGAGAGCAGTGAGGTCTGAGTGACATTTCATTAACTCTGTAAAGGGTCATTTTAGCACATACTGGCTCAAGAAAGTAATTAAAAGTATGAAAAATTTGCTATGTATCCTTTTAAATTAAATTTTGTCTTGCTTCCACCTCCCAACATGATGCTTGTGTTTTAGAAGCAGTTTACTCCATCAGTCTAGCATGCACAGAAAACCACAACACCAACATATCTTACCCCAACCCCATGCATAATGGTCACTACATTGACAATTGTACAGTTTTTTGCTATTAAGCACAACTGTTGACGTCTTTATTGCAAGCCAACATATTTCATGTTCAGAACACACGCTGTCCACTGAGGTTGGACATGTAATAAACTATTGGTAAATAAAATGTTGCAATTTTTTTGCTGAAATTTGTTTCATTCATACCTAAAGGTGAAAGAAAAAAATTGTTTAAAAAAATCATGGGTGAAGGTTTCATAATTCATGCATGAAAGGGTTAAAACCAATCTAATTGGATGAAAATGTGCAGTTACATGTTTTTCTGAGGAAAAAGTAGTTCTGTTTTTCCTATAGTGCTTTTAAATCTGCTTCTACCACAAAACAATCTAGACAGACCCCTCTAACACTGCTTTAGAGTCTCTCTGGGTCATAAAACAACTCCAAATCAGCAAGATGAGTAAAACTATACAAAGATCAGCAATCAGACAAGATGTTTACTTGTTCTTACTTTATTCTCTAAAACTATTTGGATGAATTTAGTCCCAGTTCTGTTGTGTCCTATTAGGACTCTACATTTTTTTTACAAACTCAAGGCAATGATGGAAAGTAAGCTATAGCTCCCTAAAATGTTCAGTTAAAAAAAGAAAAACACAAAAAGGCATGCTGTTGCTGCATTAGAAGACATTTACGTGCATATATTCTGTCACTTTGTTAAATATTTCTTTATGGGGATTAAAATGGAAAAGGAGTTCCAGGGAAATTAAGTTTTTGCAGATTTTGGTGCCCTTGTGTTTTCTTTTCATTGTCACTCCTCGTGGATTACTTTCCTGCAGGTTTTAGACGTTTCTCTGCTTCAACACTCCTGATTTGATGCAGTGGATGAATGACATGTTGTTGAAGACATGCTGAAGAAGTGATTCAACTATTAAAGGTGTAGTTCACTGAAAAACATTTTTAAAAGAGCTTCAATAAGATATATAATTGCCAATAATAAGCTTAAATAACATCAAATAATTGTTGACACTGCCTGGCAACATCTCTATGCAGAGCTATCTTCTTTAGGGCCGAAGCATTTCATTTGTTACGGTCAGAAAATTAGAGAAGAATTCAGTCAAGTCCACTGTCCTCAAATTTTCAGATTTTAATTTCCTGTATTGATCTTTTTATACCACAAGATGGCGCCAACTGCTTGTGCAGATAAAAGAAAAACAACAGGCAACCAGCTATAAACAATGGAAAAACCTTTACATAAAAAACATTAATTTTTATTTTATTTTAATAACATTTCTAATTCATTCGTTTTTATGTTACATCCATCTTGTATATTTTCATATATTATTATTTTATGATATAACTTGATGCTGAAAATAAGCATCGGTTATGTTCAGATATTAAATTCCAGCACATATCATCACAATGAATAATACATATCTCTGTTTTTGGTTGCTTCATTCCTGTAATAACGTGTTTGCATACCTGGTGAAGTTAAACGGTTTGGTTTTGAGTGCATGCTGAGTTTGCACACTGCTTAGAAATCCCTGCAGCAACAGGAGCCTGTCAGTGTCTTATCAACAGAGGAGCAGGACTGCAGGGGAAGGTGTGGACCACCCATACTGACCTGTCCTGCACATTCCAGTATGGACACAAGAGGTGGCCTCATCTGTAACTGGAGAGCTAAGAAAACAGCAGGCCATCTTTGATGTCTATATTCAGGTTGAACTCTGCTAGACAGTACGCTCAACTGACTTTCAGGATCATGCAGTAGTTTTAGTGTTAAGCTATTTTTTATCAGGGTGAAGAAAGGGAGGTATGTTTTAAAATAGAACAAACCTTTTACACAGAAGAAAATCATATCAGCCCCCTGTGTGTGTAAAGGGTTCAACCTTGTTTAACTTCCTTGATTCTTTCATTTGGGACTCTTCCTTTTTAGGCAATAGGCTGCTGCCTTGCAGGCCCTCCTGGGAATCTGTGGGAATTCCTTTGATTCTTGCTTAGCAGCTGGTTTTCAATCTTTGCTTTTTTGGTTTCAGGACATGGACAGCAAAAGAAGAGGAAAAAAAACGTTCCAAGTCTGTCTTTTTGTGCAAGGACTGCTGGGACTGATCTTTGACATCGTCATATTTTTCTGTAATAAGTGTAAACTTATTTCAGTGAAGCTCTTAGGGTTTTTTCCAGTCACAAGTTTGCTAATATAATGAAAAGTGCTATTCATTATTGTGTCATCTCTGTGATTAATTTTTCAAGAATCATGACCTCACCTCCCATGAGACAAAGCCTCCATGACGCCATAAATGTGCCGAAATCGGAACTTTTACGAGCAGAAAATTCACAGCGACAGGAATTCCTCTCTGCTCTAACAGCAGACATATATTTCCGTTTTTGGACATGTGGAGCTATTACGTAATTTAGGGAGCGCTCGGATCTCTAGCAAACCCGGCTGTGTGGAAATGGGCGGTGCGTAAATCGAGTGACACTTCAACCAGCCAATCAGATGCGTCAAAGCTAGTCTTGTCGCTGTCTTATTGGCTAGTGGACGAATAAGTTGCGTGACGTCTAAGTGGCTCGCGGTCACCCTCTGTCTGGCTTCTTTCTTTCCCCCTCGCTGATGCTTTCACGGGACTAGTAGGAGTCCTCTCTCACTCGTTGGATAAAAAGGCAGCTGGGGACTGTTTTGAGCTTCTCTGCTTGAAAGTTTGTAGAAACTGCTTCAGGTGGTGGGAATTTCTCTTGGACAAGTGACCTAAACCTGTCAAAATGCCGGTTTTCCACACGAAGACGATAGAAAGTATCCTGGAGCCGGTGGCTCAGCAGATATCCCATCTGGTGATAATGCACGAAGAAGGTGAAGTTGACGGGAAAGCTATTCCAGATCTCTCGGCGCCGGTGGCTGCCGTTCAAGCGGCTGTTAGCAACCTTGTTCGGGTGAGCAACTTTGTTTTATTTTTTAAAAAAGAGGTCTTGTTTAATTTGGCTAAGCTTGACGGGGGCTGTAGCCTACCTGTCGCTAGTTTTCCCCACGTCGTCTACTTTCGTAATAAGTTAACTGAACGTAGCGCTTTTACCTGTACGAGTTCTAGACGGGTTGCTTTTTGTGGTTAGTGTTACAGAAGATGTACAGGGGCTATAAAACTTTCTCAAACTGGGCCATCTCGGGGCAAAAGGACAGTGACGCCCTTTCCCCCCTTGAAAGTTTGCCCTGCCCTCTTTATCCGACTGCCATGGCTTTTCGTAGCCTGCTGCAGGGCATTTTAAACCAGGGATAACACGTACCAGCACGTGCACCAGAGATCGTACATGCAGCTCCATTATTAGACACCTTCCTTTTATTATGACGAGGAAATTAGTTTATGTTTTAACAATAATATTATTGGGAAACACATAAGCTCCATCAAAATGAGCATTGCATTCCTTGACGTTAGAGTATTTTAAGTAAGCCTCCTATGACCAGGTGTGATGTTTGTCTACTTTTGTCATGAAAAGTGAATCTTTATATCTAATCCTAACTTTTACAGACCTTTTATATCGTATATACAAGTTTACAGATCCCTATCTTTGTAAAAGTAAATCTATAATTTTGACCATCACATATACAGTTTTATTGACAAGCATGTTTTCTTGGCCACACTGCCTTAAAATATTCACTTAATGTATTTCTCCACCAAATTTTGAAAAACACGACATGACTTGCAACCCTTTGACCAGGGCAAATGTGGTTTTGTTGATATTTTGAGTTTAAAATTGTTAACTAAATGAGTGTTTCTCAAAACTACCCTATCTTTTCAGCACATGCGGAAAAGATAACACTTTTTGTTTCCCCAAATTTTATCCTGCAACAACACTGCATGACAACTTTTATACAGGAAACAAGATGGTATGAAGCGACTGTCAGTTGCTTTTGGGATACTGGCTAAATTAAAACGGACATTTGAACAGTGTGTTGCTTTTTCTGTCATTCTGGTCAAACCAGAAAATGTCCTGTTATTTGTCAGGCAATGAGTTTGGACAATTATTCTGGCCACAACAAAGGAATGTTTCTTTTAGAAAGACAGCCTCCCTGTCCTCTGTAATTGATTTAATTAAAGCTGCGATAGCAAATTTGGAAAACAGATTAGCCTAAACATTTTTCCATGCTTCTTAACAATGTTCTAACACCATATTGCTATAAATATAATGTGAAGATTAATAAAAAGAAAAGACAAAATAAAGTGGTTCTCTTGCTTCTGTCTGAAAACCTCTATCAATAACATGTTTCAGACCAAAAGCAACTACTGGACCATCCAGTTGTCAGTCTAGCTGAACCGCTGCACTTCCCTTGGTCTTTCACTCATTACGCTCTTGTGAATTCAACAGCATAACACCGCTGGTGTGAGAGGTTCTCTGCTCAATAATATCAGAGGAGAAATAACCGGCTGCTACCACTTTAAC